GGTGGCAGCCCTCCCCATGACGAGCCCTGTCCCAGCATGGTGCCGCAGGAGAGAGATGGGCAGCTCCAAGCCCCAGGGGTGGCTTTGAAGCCCCTCGTCCGACTCCTTTGGGGGTTCATCTCCATCTCTGCGAGCAGGCTTGGCCCCTCTCGTCTCCCCTCACTCAGCCACAGCTTGGTCCACGTAAAACCCCCTACTTGCAAGGAGCAGCAGCGCTCGCTTGGGCCAAAGCACATCCAGCCCTCGAAGGGTGGCCGGCTGCAGGCAACGAGAAGGGCTTTGAGCGAGTCGCAGCTGTCTGAGGACGGCCACGGCGAGATGCCGCTGCACCACGGGCGAGAGGAGCCTTTGGGAAGGACCTTCTCGGGGAGCGGGGCTAGTCGGGGCCCCAGCCCAGCCCTGGCCGTCCCCTCTCCGCTTCCACCCCCATGCGTTGTCCGTGGGATCGCCGGTCCCGGCAGTCCCGGTTCCCTCCTTGTTTGAAAATTCATCCTTCCTGTCAGCAGCACTTTTCTCATGCCTTGCTGGCTGCTGTGCAGGCTCGAAACAGCTTTATTGTCGTGTGGGGGAGGCCCAACATTTTGGATTTTTTTTTTTCTTTTACACTTGCAGCTTCTTCAGGCTTTTGGCTTGCTCTTCTGCTTGCTTTTCCCTCTGCTGGCAGGCACCCTGCGGGCAGGCACCCTCACGGGTCTCCTGCCGGAGGCATCGAGGTGGCACCGAAATGTAAGGCTTTTCTTGCTGGAGGCGTGGGGCGCCACTGGGATGGGCTGCTTGCCCAAAGCTTGGCGAAATTGAGCCTCGGCACGGAGTCTGAGCACTGCTCCCCCGTCCTCAGCCCGCTGTCACCACGTGGTGCCAGCGATGAAGAGCTGGGCACTAGCGGGGAGGAAGGGGCGGGGCCTGTGCTGGGAGGAATGGGGGCGCATCCTTCTCGTCCCCCCCCCGACCAGCGCTCTCGTGCTCCCAAGGCTTGCAGCTGGCTTCCCCGAAGCGCTGGGCCGGGAGAGCCGGGCGGGTGACATCCCTCGGGCTGCCGCTGCCCCGCAGAGCTCCCTTGCGCGCTCCGGCGAGTTGCTCCGCTCCGCGTCGGGGCAGAGCCGGGCGTTGCCTCTGCCAGGCAGGGGGTTAAGCGTGCGGCGGCTCTGTAGCAGAGCCAGGGTTTTCAGTCCGGCTTCCCCCACCGTCGCGCTTTGCTCCTGCCCCAGGCCACCGGTTCCCAGCTGACAAACCCCAGCATTTCGGCGTGGCGCTGGTGTCCTCCCGGACTGGTGAAGCAGCTCCATGCTGACGCTGCTCTGCAGCAGCAGCCTGGAGGCTTTGGGGAGGAGGACAGGATGTGCCAAAATACTTCAGGGCACTGTGGCATCTCTTTCGTCAATGGCTTTAATCCAGTATTGAGTGAAAGAGCCCGGCCGAGGGACCCGAGGGCCTTGCTAAGTCCTCCCCAGCCTGCAGGGATGAGCAGGAGGGAGGCCGAGCGCGAGATGGCCTGGGAGTAAGGGTATCTCTTCATTATGGCCTGTTGTGCTCACTGCCCAGGCTCTCTTGCCCCAAACCCATCACCCATTTGGGGCTATTTCGGGGCCCTGTAGCTGGCCACACATTTCCTAGAGCATCCTGCCAAAGTAGCAGCACC